GAATATTATTCAGCCATAAAAAAGGGAAATCCTGCCATTTGTGACAACATGGACGGACCTAGAGAATATAATGCTAAGTGAAATATACCAGGCAGAGAAATGCAAATCCTATATGATTTCAATTATATTGACTGGCAGTTACCACGGGAGAGGGTTTGGGTTTGGGGGTGAAATAGGTGAAGGGGTTAAAGAGGTACAAGATCTCAGTCGTAATACAAATTAGTAGGGGAGTGAGTACAGCATAGAGAATATAGTGAATAGCTTTCTACATCTTTCCATGTTGATAGTAACTACACTAGTTGGGGTGAACATTGAATAATGTAGGTAATGCCGAATCACTACGTTGTAGACTTGAAACCAATAATATTGTTTATCAATTATTCTTCAGTAAAAAGTCATAAGCAATAAAATTAAACCTTCAGACTTTGAAGAAAAAGAACAAAGAATGGCCAAAAAAACACCTCAAATTATTAGCAAGACCTGAATCTAAAAGCCCAAGACGTCCCGCAAACCCCAAGAAGGAACCCCAGAGAGCCTCACTGAGGTAGCAGAGCCCTCAAGCATGCTGACCGGAGCCAGAGCTGTAAGAACCCAGGGTCGGCAGGAGGAGGAGGTGAGGACAACGGCGGTGCTGGCCACTCGGGGAGAAATCGCCACCGTGAGCGGAAACCTGGGGAGAGAGGGCGCTGCCTGTCACCTGCACTGGCCACACTCAGTTGTTCTGTCACACCGACAGGGCGGGAGGGGGTTCCCAGTTTGGGGTTCACCTCAATGCCACAGATTCTTACTATCCTTAAAAATACTTAGATTCTTCTGAATAAATATTTGTTCAAATGCTGACTGGCCTTACCCAAGCTCCCAGAAAACTTAAAGAGCTGTTTCTAAATAATTCCCATCTTTACTCTCGTTTTGCTGCGGAGAGGGTCGCTACAGTGCGCTTTGCCTCTGCGCCCTTCCAGCGGTGAGCGTCTTTGTTACTTCGCTGTCATTCTAACCTGCAGACTGAAGCGCAAGCCTTCCCCCTCTGTCCTACTTCGGGGAAGCAGGGAAGGGCCACCGAGGTCTGAGTTGGGCTCACGAGTTCCCGTCGCCTGGGACACCGGGACAGACCTCCCGCTGTCCGACCGCGCTCTTCAGAAGCCGCCCCCAAATCTCCTTTCTTGGCCTTCGGGAAGGTCTCCGAACACGGCCGCACTCCGTGCAGTGCTCTGGCCTCCCCGATATGCTGGGGTGCTAGGCCGGGGTTCCCAGGCTGTGCAGACCCACGCGGACCCCGCATCCAGGTGACCCGGCCGTGCAAGTTGCCGAGGCACCTGCCCCCGCGGAGCTCAGCGAGCGCCCCTTTCCGCCCCCGGCCCTCCCTGCTCTCTGCCGCTGCTCACCGTTCTGGACGCCGCCCTCACCTCCACTCGCCCGACCTGTTCGAGGACTCCCTCTCCTCGGGCGTCAGGAACCCGCCCGCCCAGGCGGAGGCTCCGCCGAGCGCGCGGGGAGCGGCCCTCCAGACGCAGCCGCCCCACGACGCCGGGACTCCCCGGGCCGCAGCTCCCGGCCTTTCCCAGAGGCTCTCCCGGCGACTCGCCCCGTCTGCCCCTGGGACACGGACCCCCTGCCCCTGCGGCCTGCAGGCGCTTCCGGCCTCAGCACCCCTCCCCCGCCGCATCCGCACGGCCGGCCTCCTCCCCGCTCGGAAGAGCGAGCAGGACAGGGGGCTGCAGGGCCCCGACTCACCCGGGGACGGACGGCGGGCGGGGACGGGGGCTCCGCGTCCTCGGCGTGGCCGTCCACCCGAGCGCACTAGCCGGGATTCCCCGCGCAGGTAGTGATTCCAGGACCCTGAATGCTCGGCGGGCGGTTCCGAAACGTCTACACCCAGAATCCTCGGCGGGCGGCTCCAGTCGTCAGTACCCAGAATCCTCGGCGGGCGGCTCCCGGACGTGAGTACGCAGAATCCTCACGCCCTCCTCCGGTGTCCAGTACCAGGATCCTTGAGGCCGTGCAACGTGAGGTTATCAGTACCCAGAAGCCTCAGCGCGGCGCAGCTCCAGGACCTAAATACCCAGAATCCTCGGCGCGCCCCCTGACTGCCCACACCGAGTCGGGTGCCCTGGCAGCCGAGGGTGCTTTTCCAGCCCTCGGTCTGTCACGTGGAAAATGGCCCCCCTGACGCCACCCTTCTCCCACTCTCGTTTCTGCATCCGACTTGCATAAAAGAGGTGGGGCGCGTCCCCTCTCCTTGCCGCCCCCCTACAGCCCACCGGCTGAGTGTCCGGCATACCGGCATCCCAACCCAGAAGCCGGGCTTTGGGGCGGGCGCGGCGCAGGCGTCGTGGGGCGCCCTGCGGCGGCTCACGTCCCCTCCCTCCCAGGTCCCCGCCGCGCCCGGGGAGGGTCCTCGGGGTCGCAGTACTGAGTGGAAGGAGAAGCGGCCAGATGTGCCCTTACGTACTGATTCGTGCGGCCCATGGCTTGGCTGGTTAGTCAGGACTTGGAAGGAACGTGATTGGAAAATTGGTAACGAAGAAATTTGGGGAAAGAGGTATGTGGCTTGGCCTTTCTGATGGGCAAAAAACATGAAGATGTTTGTGTCCAATGTGAATGCTCACCCGCGGGTGGCCTTAGCAGAGGAGGATTGAATAACCAAGTTGACAGAATGACACATTCTGTGGAAACCAGTCAGCCTCTTTGCCCAGCCACCCCTGTCATTGCCCAGTGGGCTCATGAGCAGAGCGGCCGTGGTGGCATGGGCGGCGGGGATGCATAGGCTCAGCAACACAGCCTCTCGCCCAGCAAGGTTGGCCCGACTGCTCAGTGCTGAGCACCCATCGGCCAGCAGCAGAAACCAACACAGCCCTGTATAAGGCACCAATCCCTGGGGCGATCAGCCAGCTACCTGGTGGCCGGTTGATTACATGGGACCCCTTCTGCTATGGAGGGCAGTGTCCATATCCTCACTGGAAAAGATGCTCTGAATATAGATTTGCCTTCCCTGCGTGCCTGGCTTCTCCCAAAACAGCCACCCATGGACTTAAGGGTGCCTTAACCACTGTTGTGCACTCCGCGCACCATTGCTTCTCATCAAGGAGCTCACGTCAAACAAAAGGAGCCCAGCAATGAGCCCACGCCCATGGGTTTCACTGGTTCTCAGCATTCCCCTGAGTCCTGAGACACGATGGAAGAATGGCCTTTTCAAGATTCAGTTACAGTGCCAGCTAGGAAGCAATATCTTGCCATACTGGGGCAGGCTTCTCCAGAAGGCTGCATAGGCTGTGAACCGGCATCCGGTGTATGGTGCTGTTTTCCCGTAGCCAGGATTCATGGGTCCAGGACTCAAAGGGTGCAAGGAGGAATGGCAGGATCCCTAGTTATCCTAGTGACCCCCTAACAAACTTTCCTATTCCTGTTCCCACAACTTTATTCTCTGCTGACCTTAAGGTCTTAATTACAGAGGGAGAAAGGCCTCCATCAGGAAATAGCATGGGTTCCACTGGACTGTAGGTTAAGGCTGCCATTTGGCCCCTTTGGTCTCTGTGCCTCAATAAGCAAAGAAGGCAGTTACCTTGCTGGGTGGGGTGACTGACCCTCACTCCCAAGAGCACATTGGCCTACGTCCCAACAGTGGCAGGAAGGAAGGTGTATCTGCAATACAGGTAATCCCTTAGCACACCTGTGCTCATGCTCTGGGTACTACCACCGCCCAGCCAGCGGGCAGGACTACTGAAGGCCCAGAGCCTTCAAGGGTAAAGGTTTGGGTCTCTCACCAGGCTGAGAATGACCCCGAGCGGAGGTGCTCGCCAGACCAAGGGGAGCATAGACCAGGTGTGGAAGACGGTGATATAAATACTGGCTGCGACTTCATGATCAGTTACAGAAATGAGGATGCTAATGGTCATGAGTAGATCCTGCCTATTTTGAGAGGAGTATGTTTGCATCTGTCTTTGTTTTCTTTCCTCTCTTATGTTCTTATCATGTAACATAAGGCGAGTGAATTTTTATCATAGTATTTAAGTATTGTCAAGTCTACATCATAGTATTTAAGTTACAGGATCTCAAGGAGAAGAGTAAACATCACTCAAGGATTCTGTCCCACCTTCTGGAGTTAGTGCATTTTGGCCCTATGCAGGGTATAGGTGCCACATTAGGTGGAATTGAGATCTTGTTATTCTCTTTATTTAGAGATTAATGATGGCTTAAGGAGATGTGTTTGGGTGCCAAGTTGACAAGGAGTAGCCTTGTAGTTCATTTCATGAACTGACTTCACTGGCCATGGGTGCCCAGACTATCCATTATTTCTGGGTGCGTGTGTGAGGGCGTTTCCCGATCAGAGTAGCATGTGGATCAGAGGACTAGGTAAAGCGAATTGCCCTCCCCACCCGGACCTGAATAGAACAAAAGGCAGAAGTAGGAGGGATTGTCCCTTTAATCTCTGCTTTGCGGTTTGAGCTGGGATATCCCATCACATCTCCTACCCTCAGGGTGGCGTTTACACACTTGGGTCCCCTGGTTCTTGAGCCTTCAGACTCACACTTAATTACACCCCCAGCTTTTCTGGGTCTCCAGCTTGCAGATGGCAGCATGTAGGACTTCTCAGCCTCCACAACCACAAGAGTCCATTCCGCCTACTAAATCTATATCTACACCTACTTATATTGAACGTGTATATGTATCCTATTGGTTCTGTTTCTCTGGAGAACCCGGACCAATACAGTGCCCAAGAACTAGACCTGAGAGCCTGGTCCCAGTATCTTCCTGAGGTTCATCTTCCAGCCCTAGAGGCTCAGCCCTTGAACCATCTTACACAAAGTGGTCTGCATGCTGCCCTTGGGCTTTTCATGGCGGGGCACCAGGACATAGCGGGGACCATCTCAGTGTTCTCCAGGTCTTGGCCTGTCTGTTGGTGGCAGATCATGGGAGAGTGTAGGCAGCCTGCAGCGCCACGGTAGAGTCCGTGTAGTCCAAGCCACGTGAAGACAGTCAGCTGCGGTCGTCTGAACTCAGTGGGACGCTGAAGAAGGCATTAGTCCGTTCACAGTGCGCACCAGGCATCTTCAGTCTGCACAGCGGACTCTGTGATTCTGCCATACCTGAGCCTGCAGGTGCAAGGCGACTACTGTTGCCCCCTCACTGCGGAAGTCCACTGTGAGGTGCCAGGTACCACTGACCAGCACCCCCAAACATGCAGGGCTGGCCTGAGGTCTGTATGTACATACGCACATGCACATACATACGTATATACGGTCATCTTCAGTCTCTATGCTACTCTTCCTCTGTTAACTCCTTGGTCAGTTCAGTGGTCTCCTCCCCAAGCCCTGCCCATCACCCACTGCAGCCGCACAGCTGCGGAGGCCCTGTGGGCCCCCACCTCTCCTGATCAGTGTGTTTCCTCCTTGGGAACATCTCTTCCAATGCAGGGAATATCACTCATTTGTAACACATCTTTCCCCTCAAGATACCCAGCAGTGTCAGCTACAACTGGGGTGTGTGTTTTAACCCACGGAGAACCCCCAGTACCTCAGAATGTGACTGTATTTGAAGATAGGGCCTTTAGACATAGAGTTACATTAAAATGGGGCCCCCAGGGTGGTCCCAGCCCAGTATGGCTGAGGTTCTTATCAGAAGAGGTGATTAGGACACAGGCTTGCGCAGGACGACCATGTGAGGGCAGGGGGGAGGGCGGCACCTGCAGGCCAGGGGGAGGCCCCAGAGGCACCAGCCCTGCCGGCACCTTGTCTCAGACTTCCAGCCTCCAGACAGGGACAAAATAAGGTTCAGTTGTTTAAACTGCCACTTTGTATGGCGGCCCCAGGACACTAATATAGTGACCATCTCATCATTTGGGCACTCCTGTTCCCATGATAAACCCAGGCCTGATTACGGTGACCCTGGGAAGGCAGGGCTGCCCCTACTCTGTGGGCACATATGAGCCGACAGCGTCCGGACGGGCCACGGTGTCACTGTGGATGTGAGACCCTTGGTGGTGAGCGTGGGGCAGTCTGCTAGCTTTTCCTTCATGCCCATGTCATTGGCATGGGGGTGTGAGCCAGGCTGGTGTGGAGAAATGGGCAGTTGTTAGGCAACCGAGTGATGTCCACTGCTTGTCACCCGGTGGGCTTTCGGGGCTCCCTCGTGTGCTGTCCAGGAGAGCCGAGCCCCTCCCCGATTTCCCTCCTTTCCCATCGCGTCTAAGCACAGACCTCAGAACATCAGTGTCACCGGCTGCCCTTGAGCCCCACCAGTTTCATCCCCACTCGTGGCCGCCAGTCAGAGCAGAGCGACTCCCTTCCCCTGTGTGTGAGAGGCAAACAGCCCCCAGGGAAGGCTTGTCCTGGCTTCATGGGCTCTCCCCTGCTTTCGAGCCATCAGTGCCACTCATGAGGGTCTTCTGAGATGACAGTCAAGGACCACTTGGCCCCTGGCCACCAATCTTTGGCATCCAGGTCCACCACCTGAAGGGTCCTGCTCCGTACCTGGCGAGTCACCTGCAGGGTCTCATCTGTCCTCTTTCTGAAGAGCGCTGTGACTGTCTCAGCCTCCGGGAGAAAGTCAAGGGCCCAGTGGGGTCAACCTGTTGGGAGCATATGGGGCAAAGCTCATGGCACGTGGCCTGTTTCCCCCTCTGCAGGAGTTGCAGCTTTTGCATCAGGAACATTAAGTTCTTTATTCTGTAAAAGACAGAAGTTGTTCTCTGCCTGTGCAGTGAGCTCACCGATGTCATCTCAAGAAACTGCTCAGCCAGCAAGGGTCGTGCGCGTGTGGACACCCACCCGCCAGGGGCACAGCCCCAGCCCCACGGGCACCCACGTGCGCCCTGCAGACCAATCTCGCGTCCGCACAGCAGCCGGAGCCTCACTCACAGGGCACAGCTTCCACTTCTCTCTTCACTGCAGATTTTTGGCCCAAACTCTGTGAGGTGTTTCTTTCCTCTTTTTTTTTTTTTAACAGAAACACCAGAAAGTTTTAACAAGGCACACCAGTTGCAGCCGGCATTGACCACCACCTCCCGGCAGGCAGCTCAGGAATCGGGTCCCCGACCCAGCGGGGGGACACCCCCACTGTGCACGCACACACCTTCGCGGATCAGCGCTGACTTGATTTTGACATTAAATGGCCGTTTGCTTGGCCGTGACAAACACACTCGTCATAACAAGGCACTGGCTGGGTGGCTGGCTTCAAACCTACCTCTTGCGGCTCAACACTCCACCATTTCTTTTGTGATTTTTTTTGTTGTTGAGTTTTATATTTTTTTCTTTAAAAAATTTTTTTTATTGAGGTACCTATAATAAAATGCACAAATGTTAGTGTACAGCCCGATGAATTATGACATGTATACACTCATGTAAACCACCACCCAGATCAAGATATCAGACATTCTAAGTTTTCCCTGTTTGCCTATTTCAGCCATTCCCCGACCTCCCTCCCCCATGGTAACCACCAGTCTGTTCTCTGTGTCTCTGAGTCTATTTCTGTTTCGTTCGTTTGCTCATTTATTTTGTTTTTTAGATTCCAAAACAAACTGAAATCAACACTCCAACATTTTTTATTAACAAGTGGCACATACTACCAGGCCTTGGAGGGTCGCCCCCACAGCCCCCTGAGCACCATGGTGGGACAGATGGACAACCAGTCCCTCTCGCCCACCCAACATTCAGATGAGCTGTGCCCAAGAGGTGTGTCTCCCCAAAGCAGCCTGCAAAGCTCCTCACCTTCCAAAGTGTGCTGTAAACCTGCCCCCATTTGTCAAGCACACGCCCAACATGGCGAGGCCGAGGCCAGGGCCTGACCAATGGGGCACGTGAAGGGCAGCGAGCCTAGTCCAGTCTGGAGTTTCACTTACAAGCTGCCCAAGGGAGCGGCGCCCTGGGGTCCTCATCCCACACGCCAAAAAGGACCCCGTGGAAGCAAGGGCTGGAAAGAGCTCTAGTCGTGGGACACCCCACTGCTAAGGAGCCCTCCTAGGCTGAGGGTCATCAGCTGCACCTGTTGCGAGGGCCCGGTCAGGGAGCTCCCGCCCCTGCAGGGCCCCCGGGGCATCAGGGAGTGAGAGAAGGGCGCCTCAAGCAGGCCTCACGGGCCCCCCTGGGTCGCAGGAGGCTCGCAAACATTCCCCCAGGACTTAGCTGAGCTGCAGCTCATGTCTTTGTTTGCGTGGCCTGTGTGGCTGCTCTTTGTGTGCACACCTACATCAAGGGGAGGAGCGCTGCCGAGGTGGGAGCCGGTCCAAGGCAGAGCAGGGCTGCTCGAAGGGACTTCCTGTGCCCGCAGACCAAGGCAGAGGAGCAGCTTCCAAGCCCAGGCCTGCCCACCAGCCCACCCGATGGAGCCACCAGGCTCCCCAAGCTGGCCTGGACAGAGGGGCCTGTGGCCACAGCGCAAATCCCAGCTGCAGGCCCTAGGCTTCGTGCGGGTGCCCTTCACAGAGAGCACGGGTGAAAGGGGGTGCCACACTGAAAACTCAGCCCCTCCCACCACCCACTTCCCCACAAGAGCCCTCGCCCAGCCAGTGCTATTGCCCTCTGCCCACAACCTCCAGGGGAGGACCTCCATGGAGGAGCCCGTGGCCACCGGCAGCAGCAGGGCCCCACCCCGCAGCCCCTGCTCCTGCCGTGCTGGTCCCAGGCTCCAAGCGATCAAAGGGCATGCGGTGAGCGGGGAGTCATCCCTGCCAGGACTGAGTAATCTCATCCTGGAGCAAACGGGGGGAGGGGGAGCACGGGGGGACTTCAGTGTGACCCCAGGTGGCTCCAGAGCCCTTCCACCTCCGTGGGTCACCCCCTGACCCCACCTGTAGTCGAAGCCGAGCTGCATCATCTCACCACTCAGCGTGGTGGCTAGTGAGCAGTGTGAAAGGCAGACCTGATCTTGCCTGTGTCCCCAAACCCGTCAGAGTCCCCACGTCCCTGGCCCCCTGGCTACTTGGCCTGCAGCCCAGCCACATCAGTCCCCTCATGCGTATCCTGGCCAAGGCAGCAGGGCCTTGGCACGTGCCACGTCTCCCCAGAACCCCTCCCTTTAGTGGCTGCTTTCGGCTGGTTCAGTGCCAGCCTCCCTGCCTGCCTTGTCTCCTTCTTTTAGGGTGTTTAATTTCCACTGTGATTCTGGGGTGTGTCTGTCCAGTGGGTCTGGAAGCCCCACGGGGTGGGCCTTGTGTCTGTTGTGCTCCCACGGGACACTCAGCTTTCAGTAGAGCCGCTGAGACGGGCCCTGCAGCCAGGGGGGGTGTTAGAACAGGCGGTTGATAGACATGAGCAGGAGAGGGGAAAGGGGGACAGCAGGCCCCCCAGTCTCCACCCAGGGACCACCCTGTCTCCCTTAGACCAACCCCTCTTGCAGTTCAGCATAAACTGGTAACCAAAAGATAACGGGTCACTGGAACCTTCCCTATTTTGGAGCATAGGCACTTAAGACCTTGTCGCTAATGACCCTGGGGCCATAGTAACATCATTATTTTGTCATTTATGTTATAGTGTTGGCCCCTCCGCGGGTATCTCTCAGGTGCTCGTGGGAAGAATGGACACAAATCTGCACAAAGAAGCTGAAGGGGAGAAGACAGAGCCAAAGGATAGCTTGAGAATGACCAACAGGAGAGAGGAAAGCAAGCACACCCCATAAGACAATGGAAGACCCAGCCGGTCCTCGGGTCAGCCCAGTCCTCTGGCTCTGGGGCGCACCGCCCCTTTGTTCTGCTAAATCACTCCCCCCGCAGCTTTAACTCTCGGGTCTCTCCACTGAATTCTTTCCTTCGAGAAGACAGGAACCGAGGAATTCCACAGTCCAACACCTCATAAAGGGGAACCTTAGGAACAGGGGAGCTGGGTTCAGGCTTGGGGTGCAGAGCACTGGGCGACTGTGGCAGCCCCAGGTGGGGACTCAATCTCCCGCTGTCCCGGCCAGGCAGCTCCAAGTGTGGTCCTCAAACTCCAGCAGCAGGGGAGGGGGTGCAGACCCCAGGGTCACCCCACTGCTTGGCTCTGAACGGCACCCAGAGCAGAGGTTCCTCGGGCTGGCCCTTGACCTCTCCTCCCGGGAACCGCTGCTGGACAAGGAACCAAGGTCCCAAGGGAATGGCTATTTCCCTCTGCTGAGGCTCTTGGGGACTGCCTGCCACGTGCACACCTGCCGGCAGTGGCCCCGGAGGCAGAGCTGCCCGCTCTTCTTTCCACCCCGTCACACCCGCTTGGGGCCAAGCTACTGTGTGCACGGTGTTAAAGGAAACATTACTGTGCCACTTGTTCAAATGGTAAGGAAGACTATTCAGGACTGTTTCCACAGGTGTCCAGACAAGCACAATAGGAAAGGGATCGGGCTCAGCCCCAAATACAGCAGACGCCTGGGGACCCAAGAGCCCACAGCAGAGCAAGGGGATGAGGAGATGGACAGGCACTTGCTGAAGGCAGGCCCAGGTGGTCCGATATTGGGATGTGGAATTTGATCAGTTAACAAGGGTGGTCAGATATCAAGGGTAGGGGATTCTCTCTAAACTGACTTAGCAGGAGGGTCTCGCTACAAGGGCCCAGAGAGCTTGCCCAAACTTTGGTCACGGAGTCTTCAAGGGGCCACCCTGGGGGAGGCCCTCGGGCTGGTTTCTTGCCTAGACGCTGACCCTACAGCGCCCCCAGTGGGTCAGCATGCTCTCCCGCAGAGGTCTGGGCATTCCATCCAAGGTCGCTTGGATTCGTCCTCAAGTTAATCACGCTTTTTTGGGTCGTTTTCTTCATGATTCCACCTACTTTCGCATGTTGCTGCTGGGCTGAGTCCCTCCCACTGAGGAGGACGGCATAAGGTGAGTTCTTGTGGGAATCCCCACCTCCTGCCCCACAAGCCCAGCAGGACAGTCACCAGCACGAAGTTTTGTGGCGGGAGGGGGCAGATTTCTGTACTTTATAAAGTGTAATCGTGGACGCCAGGGAATTTATTCTCAAGAGTGGGATGAGGCATCGGGCCAGGTTTTTTTCTCCACGCTGACAAGTGGACGAGAATGAGGGGCGACGGACGGGACCCTCTCGCAGGGTCTGTGAGCCATCGCGCCGGGACGATGGCAAGCGCGCACCCGCCTGCACCGCCACTGCCGGAACTCGAGTCCCCGCGGAGGCGTGTGTGCCAGGGTGCCTCGCTTGGCAGGTGGCCCGGACACGTGCCCCGTGAGTGGAAGACCAGGAGGTTGAGGCCCGAAAGCGACGAAACTGGCTCACGGTCTTGCCGCGTGCCTGCGTGGGGCCAGTGACTGCCGCGCTTTTGCCAGGAGCAGCTTTCAGACTGCAGCGCAGAGCGAGGCCCCGCGCGGCTCGGCCCCGCTCGCGGCAGGTGCCAGGAGCGGGGAGGGACGGGCCTCAGCCCACGCCGACGCCGGGCGCCCAGGCTGGTTTCTTTGAATCTTGCGATTTCCAGGCTGCGGCGTGACGCCTCTAAGGTAGCGCGGTCAGGACTGCAGGGTAAGGGACGGGGACAGCGCGGCACCGCCCAAGAGGCTCCGCCCAGGGGCGGGGCGAGCCTCGGCTCGGATGACGTACAGGCGGGCCGCGCCGCACACAGCACCGACTTGAAGGGGCGGGAGGCCGCGCCCAGGACTGACGTACCGGGGTGCGCGGCGCGGCGGGCGGGGCGCTGGCGCCATGGAGCGCTACGCCGGCGCCTTCGAGGAGGCGGTGGACGGGGCCCGTCAGCAGGAGCGGCACTACCAGCTGCTGTCGGCGCTGCAGAGCCTGGTCAAGGAGCTGCCCAGGTGCGCGGCCCGGGCCGCGGCGGGCGGCTGGCCGGGGCGGCGCGGTCCCGCCGGAGCTCACCCGCCCCTCTGCCCGCAGCTCCTTCCAGCAGCGCCTGTCCTACACCACGCTCAGCGACCTGGCCCTGGCGCTGCTCGACGGCACCGTGTTCGAGATCGTGCAGGGGCTGCTGGAGATCCAGCACCTCACCGAGAAGAGCCTGTACAACCAGCGCCTGCGCCTGCAGAACGAGCACCGAGGTGCGCGGGGGCGGGGGGAGGACGCACGCTCCTCCTGCGGGAGGGCGGCCTGCGCGGGGAGCTCCGTGCAGACCGAGCCCCTCCCCGGGGGTCGCTCGAAAGAAGTCGCCACAGCTGACCAACTCGAGGCTAGTGCTTTCTCTGTGACAAGTGAGTCAAGCCAGTTTTATTTTCTCAGCTGCAACATCCCCCTTTAGCATAACATCCGGAAACTCCCTGCTTGGCCTCTCGCTTCCAGACGGGGTGGCCCAAGGTCTCTCTGCTTGTTCTGCCCACGGTCAGACCCTGGTGCTGGCCGTCCCCGAGGCGGTCGACAGCCCCTCAGTGTTGGCAGCTCTTGTAGCGCCCTGTAGGCTCGGTTCCCTATTTGGCTGCATAGAGCGCCACACCAGCAGTGCATCGAATTCCCACTCACTGTGCCCCGTGGCACCCTCCAACACCCGAAAACTTCCCCCCTCGAGCCACATGCTCAGCCAGACTCCTGAGACGTGGCGCCTCCAAGGGGTTCCCTTCAGGTCAGAGCCCCTTCCTGCAAGGGATGCTGGACAGTTGTCCCTGCCCCATCAGTTTATCCACCTTTGTTGTTTTATTTTCCCCCAACTTATTTATAAAAAAGCTCAAACATTTAGATAAGTTTAAAGAGGACTATAATGAATACCCATATGCCCTCCAGATAGATTCAATGATTAACATTTTGCCAAAGTTCTCTATAGCCTTCAGTACACGCAGCATCATAGGGTTTCACCCTTAGTCTTCAGAATTCTTCTAGACGAGAGTTTTCAACTGCAGCACTGTTGACATTTGTGGCAGGACACATCTTAACGGTGAGGCAGTGCCCTGTGCCTTGCAGGGTGTTCAGCACCCTCCCTGACTTCTCCCTGTTAGATGACAGTGGCTCCCTTTCCTGGTCATGAAACCAAAATGTCTCCAGACATCTATTAGGGGTCAGCCTTGGCCCAGGGTTAGGAACCAGTGTTCCAGAAATAAGAACACACTCCTACTAACCACACCGGACAGCCTCCTGAGAAATTAATCATTCCAGAGCGTCTTCTGACCTTCAGGCCACAGTCACATCACCTAACTTGTTGCAAATTGTCACTTTATGAAAACCTGGCATAGGTTCCTGCATTGCAATTGGTTACTTTGGTCTCTCTGCTTCTGAAGAGCCCTCAGCATTTACTGCAACATTGGCTTTTTGAAGAGTCCAAGGGCGTTCTTCAAGCTGTCGAATGTTCCCACTCTGGACCTGTCAGATCGCTTCCTCCTTGTGTCATTTAACCTGTTTCTCCGCCCTCTGTTCCCTGCAAACAGCAAGGAGGGGCCTGATGATATGCAGGTTAAACATTTGTGGCAGGAATTCCTGCTACTGATGCAAAGCCCCTTCCCTGTGGGGGCAGGCAGTGTACATGTGCTGCAGGATTAGTGTGTTTCTCTAAGGAATGGATGTTGGGTTTTGTCAAATCCCTTTTCTCCATCTATTGAGGTGATCACGTGACTTAGAATTCTGTTACTGTGGTGAGTTATATAGATTTTTTAATTCCTGATATAAATCCTACTTGGCTAAGATAGATCATCGTTGTGTATGTCTGATTTGATTTGCTAAAATCATGGTAAGAATTTTTGCCTCTGTGTTCATGACGGACATTGGTCTGTAGTTCTCTTCATCTGGTTTGGGTGTCGGGGCAATGCTGTCCTTGTAGGATGAGTTGGGAAGTGTTCTTCTCTTCAGTTTTCCAGAAGACTTTGTGTAGAGTTGATCTTACTTATTCCCTAAGTATCTGGATGGTTGTCTTTGTAAACTTTTTTTTTTTGAGGTATAAAATGCATAGTCACAGATCCAAAGCACATAGCTCATTATTCTTGTTAGTGTTCAAATCGTGTCACACTTGGCCATTGGGAGAACTTGGGCCATTTTGATGTGTCCCCATCGTTCTTTGAGCACTTCCACATGCCATGTGCAGACTTCCATGTTCTCTGCCTGCCTCAGCACCCTCACTCAGCCCACCCCCAGCGTCCCGAGGCCAGCAGCCTCTCATCAGGACGGCCCTTTCTCTCTGGCCACCGGGAAGCTCTCCTGCTCCTCCTGCCTTTGATTTGAGTCTCTGCCAAATTCAGGTGGCCAGGCAGCTGTGCTCCCACGGTCAGGGAGGAGCATGTGCTTTTGTTTTGGGGATCTCCGTCTCCATACAAGTTAGCACTTTGTGGGGTACAGCACTCAGGGCACCTTTTTAAGGAGGGAACCACCTGTTTCTCCACAGAGCCCTGGTTCCTTTCAGTGGGGAGGTTTCCGTGACCCTTTAAACGTTTTGCTACTTCTCCTTCAGAAGGTTCAGGCAGGCGGTGCCAGCGGAGGGCTAGCGCCCTGTGACCTTGGGCCTTTCCTCTCTGGGACCCAGCAGGACGGTGACTGGCTGCAGTCGCTTTCCTTGTTGTTACCAAGGCCAGGCCCCTCCGCCCCGCAGCAGCAGTGGGCACAGCTCTCTCCTCCTGTCTGCTTGCTCACCCAGTGGCCTCTGGGCGCTGGCCGGGAATCTGCAGTTTGGTAATGGGGCACAGGAGGTGGCATATCCCTGCATTTATTTCCTTGCCTCCCACCTCCCTGTGTTGTAAACATTAACTAGGGAGTGTCTGTCTTGTCCCTGCACTTACAGGGGTGGGGGGAACCCTCTTGGTTTCCAACTCATTCAATGTGGTAAATACCTTATCAGGGTGGCCCAGATGCCAGGCAACAGACTTTCAAGGCTGTGGGCACAGCAGGGGAGCCTCAGGGATCCACCCAAGAGGAGCTGTAATGTGGGGTCCCTGTCTAAGGTCGTGTTGTGTGTCCGTGTACAAGGAGACCTGGCCCCCTACCACATAAAGGCTAGGACTTCGGCTGTGCGGTGTTGAGTCCTGTGTTTGGGGATTGGTTTCTTTCCATCCTGTGACCTTCCACCTTTGCCCAGTCCCAGCATTGTACAAGCATTTACACACGCCTGTATTCCTGGTGTAGTGGGGAGCGCGGGCCCCTCTCAGAGCAGTGCAGACCCCCCAGCACAGGGCCTCTCCCGGCTCCTTCCGTCCTTGTGCCTCCCGGGCTCTGTGCCCACCCTTCTCTCTCTGGGAGCTGTGGGTGGGGCGGGGCAGTTCACAGGGTGAAGGGAGGCAGAGGCACGCCATGCACAGGGACAGTGACCCACACCCACTCTCTTCTGGCTCTTCCCTGGGTGGCCTCCTGGACACTCGGGTGTCCCCTGGTGATCTGCTGGCCTGTAGTCCCCTGCCCTGCTGAGGGTGGGACCTGGCCTAGGTATCCCCTGGGGCTCCATCCAGCTTTCAGGGCAGGGCTCCGGGCGGGCTGGTTTTATGTCTACACCTCCGGCGCGGCTGTCCTGTGGTGGGACAGCTGGCGTAGGCACCCAGGTGGAAGGTGTTCCCCAGGCCCCTTCCCGGCCCCTGCCGACAGACTGCCGGTCTTGTCCCCCCTCAGTGCTCAGGCAGGCCCTGCGGCAGAAGCACCAGGAAGCCCAGCAGTCCTGCCGGCCCCACAACCTGCCTGTTCTGCAGGCAGCACAGCAGCGCGAGCTGGAGGTAGGGGCGCAGCAGGGTGGGTGACACCCGGGCCTGGGCTGGGTCGTGGGAGAGCTCAGGGTGGTTTGGGAACTGTGACTGCCCTGGGCTCAGCCCGGGGTGGGCCTCTGGAGGCCCAGAGTTCCCGCTGTGGGGGGCTGGGTGTGTCAGGACCAGGCGGGGAGCGTGGGATCCCCCTGCTGTCTTCCCTCTGCTCCAAGGCTGCAGCTCCTGGTGGGTGGGGCCTGTGCAGGGCAGGTGCTGAGTGGGGGCCGTTGTACTCCGTGGCCTTAGAGGTACAAGGGCGATGGTGGGGTGACAGGCCAGCCAGCAGAGGCCCATCCCAGGCTGCTCAGGGACAACCCAGAGACCCACATGTACCCAAGATGCAACAGGTAGTAGGGGTGCATGCAGACACCTATGCAGGGTCCTGAGGCTGCTAAGCCACGGCGTGAGGGAGCGGGCGCTGAGCTGGGGTTGCTAGCTGCCCCAGTGGAGAGGGACACAGGCAAAGGTCCGGAGACAGTGGCCAACTTGACGGTGCGCAGACGGATCCAGTGTCTGGCTAGCTTATGGTGGTCCTGAGCTGTCCGCTGGGCAGGGCTGGCACGGCCAAGGGAGGAGGTCCTGAAGGGGAGAGCACTGGGGGTGGCTGAGAAGGAGCAGCTGGGGTTCAGTAAGGCCGCTAGAGGTCTAGGGGCCAGATGAGGCCGCACGCCAGCAGCACATATTTGCCTCACTGGTGCTGCGGGCTGATCCCGCACCACCCTCACCGTGGCAGGCGGTGGAGCACCGCATTCGGGAGGAGCAGCGGGCCATGGACCAGAAGATCGTCCTGGAGCTGGACCGGAAGGTGGCGGACCAGCAGAGCACGCTGGAGAAGGCAGGGGTCGCTGGCTTCTATGTGACCACCAACCCGCAGGTCAGTGCCCCAGGCCTGCCTGGCATAGCCAGGGGATGCTGGTCCCCACAAGCCTAATTTTGTCTGGGGTTTTGCAGCTGGTCTCTGGGGGGCCAGGTCCAGGGCAGGTGGGGAAAAGCTGGTGAGGCCCCAGGAAGGGTTTCTGTTCTGCTCAGCAGAGGCTGGACTCCCTGCCTCTGCCTACAGGAAGGTGAGCCACCTGGCCTCCCTGAGGCCCACTCCCCCTCTGCGTGCACCCCATGTGCACCGAGCTGGGGCAGCCGCAGGCCCTGATGTGGGAGGGAGCGAGCTTCTGCCTCTTTTTGGCAGGCCATGGTCAGGCATCACTGGAAGTCAGTCCCATAGCTCATGGCCTGGTGCTCTCTGGGCCCTTAGGAAAAGAGGGCATCTGCCTGGGGCCTCACAGCAGCCTCTTTGCACCCCAGGAGCTGGCGCTGCAGATGAACCTACTGGAACTCATCCGGAAGCTGCAGCACAGGGGCTGCCAGGCGGGGAAGGCGGCCCTGTGACCAGGGCAGGTGGGGTCCCTGCCAGTGACCTGCTGCCCGCCATGGCTGGGGAGACAGCCCTGTCTCACTGTCATCGCAGGCAGCACAAAGCCAACCTGTCTTCCTGACGTCTGGCTACCACCTTCTCAGCTGCCTGCAGGAGGTGTCACCCTTCTGAGAGAGGCCAGGTGGATGCTGGTTACGCCTGCCACCCTGTCTGTTTGGGGTTTTCATCCAAAGCTAGGAAGGTGTGGGAAAGGGGAGAGCAGGTTCCCCGGATGGCTGGCTGCCCCAGAGCCGGGCAGAGTGCGGCGGGAGGGCCTGGCGCCTTCTCCCTCCTCGGGGCACATCCCAGCCTCTGCCATCCCCAGCTTCAAGCTTGTTCTGGTTTGGCCCCACCTTGGCAGGGGTAGCTGAGCGGGAGAGGGTCCAAGGCCCGAGCGTGTGACCCAGAGAAGTAAAGACACCTCAGTATGGTCTGCACATGGTTCCTGTGATGGCTTTGCGGTCGGCTGGTGGTAGCTCTGGCTACAGAGAAACTAGCAAGAGGACACCCCTGGGCACCCTGTCACAGAGGCCCTCCCATGGCAGGCCCCAGGGCACTAGGACCACATCCGGTCTGCTCTGTGGGACTGGGAACTGGGGGAGGGGGCATGGCAGGGGTCCCTGTCTGAGCAGCAGGAATCTGGACTGGGTTGTGGGAGGGCAAGGGTGAAAGGTAGAGAGCAGCAGGGGTGCTCTGTGGGGGGGTGGGGGAGACCCATGTGGGGAGACACCGAGCCCGGTCCTGGGAGCATCCTGTCCGGGTTGGTCTGAGCCCCAGGGGCCCTGCTGTTCCCTTGGACTGAGGAGCTGGGGGGTAGGGGTGCCTAGCACCCGGCAGGGCTGGCTCTGTGATACACCTGTGCTGGACCCACCCCCAGGGCAAGTGATGCGGGAGAGGCAGAGCCGCAAGGTGTGACTTCTGGGCACCGGGAGCCCGTTCCCACTTCTGCCCTTGTGAGCTGCCTGGGGAAGCAGCAGTGCGGGCAGAGCCAGGGGGTCGGCAAGAGGGGTTTATTGAACAGGCTGGCTTCCCCAGCTGGGCCACTGCCCACCTGTCTGTGGGGCTCTGAGCTAGAGCCTGGCAGTAGGTGAGCCTTTGGGTCCAAGGTCATGGGGATGACAGAGTGGGCGCTGTGCCTGCTTGTTGAAGGGCAGTTCCTGACAACTAGTGGCTCTGGCAGGTATCACACGGGGCCCATACCGAGTGGCACTGAGGCCCCACCTCCAGCCAGTCACAGTCCGTTATAAAAGGTGGTCCACGTGTGTTTGGGGTTGGCCTGTGGCTGTGGAGTCAGCCCAGGGGCCACGCGGACCCCCAGACCCTGAGCACAGTCTGAGGCCTGGGAGGCACAGCCTGGGCGGGGTGCCTGGGGGCCGCGTCTGGGGCGGGGTAGCCCTCCGGCGCTAGGCTGGGCGGTGGAAGAGGCTGCCGGTGCGCAGCCGCCTCTTGAGTTCCTGCCACAGCAGCTGGCGCTCCCGCCAGCTGCCCTTCAGGACGCCGCTATTCTCCAGGGCGCGGCGGGACAGGTAGGGCAGCACCTCCATCACGGGGCCGTAGGGCACGTACTTGTACACAGGGAAGCCTGCCTGGCCTGCGCACGGGGGCAGAGGTGTCAGTTCCGGCCTGTGTCCCCCACCCACCTCCATGGACGCCCCACTCACCCAGTGGGAAGCTGATATGGTCGCACATGCCCAGCAGCTGTCCGAAGTACACCTGGCGGCCGGCGGCGTGCAGGCCCAGCTCCTCCATCCTGTGCGCAGGCAAGGTGGCGGGTCAGCTCCTGGGCTCAGTGTCAGTGCTGAGCCTTCCTGACGCCCAGAGCCCCTCCATCCACTGTCGCCCCCAGGGCGGGATGGGGCCTGGGCTCTGTCCTGCTGCTCCCACTGCAGCCCATGGCCACAGGTTCCTTCCCTCCTTCCCCAGCCAGCCTCTCCCACTGTGCTTGCTCCCCAGGGGCCCCTTCCTCCCGCCTGCCTGGCCCCCCGACCCCAGTGCAGTGACCTCGTGGCTGGCCCGGGGAAGCTCTGGGCTCTCCCACCGCACCTTTCCCTCCAGCCCCTCCACTTCAGTGCAGGTCCCATCCCCCTACCCACCCCTGGGCCCTGTCATCCACTTGCTGGCTGCTCTGTCCCTTACTGGTGGCCCTGAGTATTTAAGAGGTGGCTGGTCTGAATCAGGCTGTGCTGGAAGCATCAAACACACATGGGATTTTGAAGCCTTAGTCTGAGAAAAATGCACAGCCTTTCGCTGAAATACTGAGCACAGGTTTAAATGGTAATATATTGGATATGTGGGGTTCGTTGCAATGTATTATTGAAATTAATTTCATCTCCTCTTAACATGGCTACTGGCACATTTGAAATCAGTAGGTGTGGCTTAGCATTTCTGAGAGTGCTGCTAGGATGTTGGGGTGGCAGCCCCCATCTGTCCAGCACCCTCTCCTGTGCTCACACCTCCCCCTTCAGGGCCTTTACAAAAATTCAAGGAGTTGGAAGATACACATATTGATGATTCCCACATTTTGATGTCCAGATCCCGTATCCACGTGTGCCGACGCAGCCTCTGTCCCCCCAGGGGCACGTCCAGCCTGGGCCCTCCTCACACCTGCCCGGGCTGCAAGCCAGGCCGGAGCCTCCCAGTCCATGTCCCCAGGCCCCCGCCCTTCTCCTCACTGTCCCCATCCCTGGGCCCCTGCCCCAGGGTCCCAGGCACATCTCATCCATCCCACAGGCCCTTTCCTTCCCTTGGGGCTGGGCTCCATCCACGAGCAGGAACCCTCAGTCTAAAGCGAGCCCCAACCTGTACCATGTCCCTTGGTCTCTGCGCTTCTCTAGCACATGAACCTTGTGAGAGCAGGGCCACGTGTTACTGGCTGCTGGACTGCTGGGTCCTACAAAGGTGGCTGCTGCCCCTGCCCTTTCCACTGTCCACGCCGTCCAGGTGACTACAGCTTCTCCCAGTGCCAGAGGCTCCCCGCACTTGGCCCCTAGGCTGGGCCTCAAGACCCCTTTGGGCCAACAGGACAAAAGCAAATGTGACAAGGGCAGAGACTTGATCCCCCCCAGGGCTTCTGAGACCACAGGCAAAGCTTGGGCTGGCCTATCAACCCTGGGCTTGTGATGCTGCCCAGCCACGAATGAGGCCACATAGAGCCGACCAGGCTCCAGCTGACCACAGAGGCTGGACCGACCTTCGGCAAGGCAGGCAGAGCAGCCCCAGCTGAGCACAGCCCCCACTGCTGACCTGTGGGACCTCTGCGTTTGGGGTTGGTTCATTACTGTCACCGCTGACACAGGCTGGCTGAGGTCCCCAAGTGTCACATCAGTGAGAGACTCACTGTTCTCCTGGAGGGCATGCCCAGGCTGCTGAGGACTCCCCAGCGCCCAGAGCAGGAGCCCGGGAGGTGGCCTATGGGGGTGGTGGAGCGGGGCACGGGCCCTGGAGGCTGAGAAAGGAGAACGCTCAGCTGGCACTTGGAGGAGATGGTGAGGACAGCCCTGTTCTCTGGGGTGAGTCTGAGATTAGGGGAAAGGAAGCCCTCTGAGGGCAGGTCATACCTTCCAAGGTCCCACTGTTCGCAGCCTGTAAGCCCAACCTAAGATGCGCGTGGCCACAGGCTGCTGAGCTCACAAGTGAGACCTGCGAGGGTGGCCCCCTTGGGGCCGCACTGCCTCTGGGAGGACCCTGGTACCAGGGGGACCAAGCCCGATCAAGTTTTCATCACAGGTTATTTTCAAGCCTAAGGGAAATCAGGTTTTAAATTTTGCTACTCGTGTATATTTTAAAAGTCAAAGCCAGAATTCATCTTTGCTGAGCACAAAAGGTGCCCCTGGGTCCTTCAGCATCCGGTGACATGTTGGAAAATAGCACTGGGGAAGTGCCTAGGGACGGAGGTGGAAGGTGGGGCAGAACTGCCGGTCTGTGACTCCGTGGGCTCCCCTGCCCCCACCCCATGGCACCTGCAGACCCTACTGCACAGGGGCCTCCACAGGGTGCCTTGGGGTCTGTTCCCAGCGGCTGCCACTGTGCTGCATTAGAGATCGTGGTTTTCAGTTGCAGTTTCAGACTGAAAAAGCCCCATCACGAGCAGAGGATAAATGGTGTCCTTACTGATGGGTTTAGAAGGAGCGGCGTCAGCTCTCCTGGCAGCGTGCCCAGCCCACAGTGCCCAGGCCTGCCTGCATCCCAATCCCCGGTTGGCAGGAAGCCTTGGGGTGCCTAGTGCGGGAGGCGGCCTCTGCTCCTAGGAAAGGCAAAGGCCAGCAAGGCCACCCCCTGCCAGGCTTCCTGTGGGGCCTAAAGCCCAGGAAAGCAGAGACCAGGGAGAGGGAACCAGGCCCCCTAGGGTGGCCCTGCTCAGGTTAAGATACAAGCTGTGGGGACACATGCTAAGAGCTCACTTCACTCCACTCCTGTACCTGACTTATAAGGATTCTACTGAAGTTTTGCCCCAGCAGGACAGGGATTTAAAGAGGCTACATTAAATTCCAAATGCTCAATATATTAGGACTCGTTTATAGATGGGGTGATGTGCCAGAGGCCTCCCGAGAGCCCGGCATTTCACACTGCATTCGTACATTCCATTAAGCTATTTAAATCACCTAATGAAATTTGTTTTAAATTTGAAAGTTTAATAAACCAGGCATTAAGTTTACAAACCAATGCAACTGTGAAGAGCCTTCTGGCTGCAGCAGTGCCAGTGTCCAGCCGGGCCTGGGGGGCCAGCAGCCTGCAGGGCACCAGCTCTTTCTACAGATGTTCCCCACAAAGTGCCCACAGCGCCTGGCAGGCCACCCTGCACACGCCTCCAGCTTGGGGTGCTCGCCCCGCTCCTCCCTAACTGGGAGGCACTCTGGAGCACCAGACGGGGGCAGCACCTACCTGCAAAGCGTGAAGCGCACCGTGTCCTCATTGTGGGAGGCCACCATCACCTCAGCCCTGGTGTCACGCTTCAGCTCCTCCAGGATGTGGCTGAGGCACCTGGGGAGGGGGCTGCGTGAGCGGCCGAGGCAGGTGCAGGGCCAGCCGGTGAGCCTGCTCCTCCAGGGGGCCCCCACGGCAGCCTCCCCACACGTTAGGAAGGAAAGGCAGTGGCCGGCTGGACCAGGGCTTGAGGAAATTAAGGCTGGGGATGCTGGCCTCCCTGTGTGCAGGGGTGTGAGCAGAGCCCCGTCTGGCAGTGAGGACAGCTGGGCAGGGTGCTCGTTCTCTGACCACCTCCAGCAACATGTAGCTGTGTCCCCGCCCATGGGTACAACAGATGAGGTGTGTGTGAGCCTCTGCTGTAGCCGCCAGACGGCACCCACCCTGGGAGCCCCCAGAGACCAGCTCACAAACACAGGCGCCCCACAAACTGACAGGGGAGGCTCTGGTCACACATGCCTAGAGACGCCAGAACAGGGAGCCAAGTGCGGGCCGACCGCAGCACGGGGCCCCGCGGCACGGACAGCAGCGCTCCCGGAAGGAGGCCGGCAGGGCCGGGCGGGGAGCAGAGGCCGGCGAGCAAGACACTAGGGTCTCTGGATTTCCGACACGCACACACCGCCTCAGAGAGAGAAAGTACAAGGCTGGCCTGACCTCACTCACTGCAGGGCAACAACAGACATGAATGGAGCGAGAGCACATGCAGAGCAGCTGACCATCCCCAGCGTGAGACTGAAAAGCAGACAGGCTGTGTGCGGCCTGGGGAGGGCCGCATCTCTCGTCTGAAGTGATGGGAGCTGGCTGGGGGCAGCCGAGCTCACTTAGTTTTGTTCAGTAACCTTTTCCATATTAAAAACACCACCTTAAAGGTTTTGGGGGAAGGAGATGAAAGCAGAGGAGCTATTGCTTATGGTCTCAGGGGATAAATCTTGCTCCTAGACGCTCCTCACCCCAGGGCTGTTCCTCCTGTGGACAGGATGGTATCAGGTCAGCCCCAGCACCCTCACCTCATTTCTTCCCTCTCCACGGAGCCCTGAGGCTTTGCGGACCAAGATGGCCTGGCGCACCTGTGGTACATGGCATTGGTGGCCTCGTACGTGGGGTTGATGGGGTCCTCATAGCCAATTTCTGCAGCACGGGCACGTTCCTGGGCCATGTACGCGCCCCGTACCAGCTTGGCCCCGAAACACCAGCCCTCACGGCGAGCCAGCTCCGCATCCAAGGTGACATTGTCGTAGGCATCCTGTGGGGCGGGGACCACACGCCTATGATGACCAGGATGGAGCCCCCTGCAGCCTGGGGCCCAGCTGCTCCCGGGGGGAGGTCATGTGGGCACCAGGGCTGGCAGCAGCTGCCTGAGCCTGTGGGCACTCAGGGCATCCAGGAGACAGGTGTGGATGAGGATGAGGAAGGCCGTTTGACACATCCCCGGGAACAGTGACGGCGGGGACAGTCCTGTGGGAGAGCAGGTGCTCTCCAGATTCCCCGCAGCTGACTAGGGGCAGGACTGTTGCATGCTGCGGGCACCTGCCCAGGACACCCCCACCCCCACCAGCCTGCTACCCTACAGCATCAGCACCCCACCACCCCACACCCTGCCGGTCCCCAAGCAGCCCAGCCCAGGTCTGTGCCGGGGGCCCGCCCGCAGCACCCGAGTCCCCGGAGGCACAGGCACAAGTCTGGGCGGGTCTTCTGGGGAGGGGCTCACAACTTCCGTCTGACCCTTTGAGGGACCCGAACTGGGAAAGGGCGGGAGAACACAGCCACTTTTGATGGCTTTGAAATTGCGGATTAAGGCACGTGAAGTGGACTCTAAAAAGCTTCTTCATCTTCTTCCTGCCCCTCTGACTCCTGTCTGGGACAGGAGCCCCAAGGGACCCAAGGTGGCAGGAGGCATGGGCCCCGGGCCCCGGGCCCCGCTCCCTGCTTGGCTGGTGCCATCTGCATGGAGGCCGGTGGGAGGCGGCAGGGCGCACCTTGAGGTAGCACTGGTAGGTGTTGAAGATGAGTGGCTTCTCCACATTGAACTTGCGCTGCATTTCCAGCGTCAGGCGGCTAATGGCCGGCTGGAAGTAGGTCTGCTCAGCATCCACCATCAGCCGCACGCCCACCTCGCTGGCTTTCTGCAGGGAGCAGGGGCGGGAGAGAGGGTCTGTCTGGGCTCAGGTAGGATGGGCCCCTGCCCTGGGTGCATCCCAGGCCCTCAACCTTGGCTAGGACGTCCATCCTCTGCAGCATCCTGGTCATCTGCAGCTCCTCCTCTTCTGTGAACCGTGACAGCAGAGGCTCCAGGTGTCCTGTCTGAGGGGCCACATGTGGTCAGGCCCCAGCCAGGGTCCAGGCTGAGCACTCCCACCACCCCCATGTGCAGGGCCTGGTCCTCCAGACGAGTGAGGCCACCTCGCCCCTGCCCGCCCACCACCGTTTTTCACGTGAGGGTCAGCAGCCTGTCCTGAGGCTGGCCAGCCACACGGCGCCCTGGAACCTCGCTGCCAGCCAGCGCACTCCATGCACAGGGCCAGCAGCCCGAGGGCAGGTCTGCTCCCACGGTGTCTGCTCCTGGGTCTACCCAGGACCCCTGGGGTGGGTCACCTCGCTTCCCACACGTGCTACCAGAACCTGACCCCTCCAATCACCCAGAAAAGCTCAGCTCCTAGCAGGGAGAGGGCTCAGACTATAGGCAGATGGGGACGGAGGCACCATTCCCAGATGGCAGCCTTTGGGGAGCCAGGTGAGGCCTTCTGCTCACCCCGCCTGCCCATTAACACTGCCCAGGCTGTGTGTGAGCCTCTGCTGTAGCCGCCAGACGGCACCCACCCTGGGAGCCCCCAGAGACCAGCTCACAAACACAGGCGCCCCACAAACTGACAGGGGAGGCTCTGGTCACACATGCCTAGAGACGCCAGAACAGGGAGCCAAGTGCGGGCCGACCGCAGCACGGGGCCCCGCGGCACGGACAGCAGCGCTCCCGGAAGGAGGCCGGCAGGGCCGGGCGGGGAGCAGAGGCCGGCGAGCAAGACACTAGGGTCTCTGGATTTCCGACACGCACACACCGCCTCAGAGAGAGAAAGTACAAGGCTGGCCTGACCTCACTCACTGCAGGGCAACAACAGACATGAATGGAGCGAGAGCACATGCAGAGCAGCTGACCATCCCCAGCGTGAGACTGAAAAGCAGACAGGCTGTGTGCGGCCTGGGGAGGGCCGCATCTCTCGTCTGAAGTGATGGGAGCTGGCTGGGGGCAGCCGAGCTCACTTAGTTTTGTTCAGTAACCTTTTCCATATTAAAAACACCACCTTAAAGGTTTTGGGGGAAGGAGATGAAAGCAGAGGAGCTATTGCTTATGGTCTCAGGGGATAAATCTTGCTCCTAGACGCTCCTCACCCCAGGGCTGTTCCTCCTGTGGACAGGATGGTATCAGGTCAGCCCCAGCACCCTCACCTCATTTCTTCCCTCTCCACGGAGCCCTGAGGCTTTGCGGACCAAGATGGCCTGGCGCACCTGTGGTACATGGCATTGGTGGCCTCGTACGTGGGGTTGATGGGGTCCTCATAGCCAATTTCTGCAGCACGGGCACGTTCCTGGGCCATGTACGCGCCCCGTACCAGCTTGGCCCCGAAACACCAGCCCTCACGGCGAGCCAGCTCCGCATCCAAGGTGACATTGTCGTAGGCATCCTGTGGGGCGGGGACCACACGCCTATGATGACCAGGATGGAGCCCCCTGCAGCCTGGGGCCCAGCTGCTCCCGGGGGGAGGTCATGTGGGCACCAGGGCTGGCAGCAGCTGCCTGAGCCTGTGGGCACTCAGGGCATCCAGGAGACAGGTGTGGATGAGGATGAGGAAGGCCGTTTGACACATCCCCGGGAACAGTGACGGCGGGGACAGTCCTGTGGGAGAGCAGGTGCTCTCCAGATTCCCCGCAGCTGACTAGGGGCAGGACTGTTGCATGCTGCGGGCACCTGCCCAGGACACCCCCACCCCCACCAGCCTGCTACCCTACAGCATCAGCACCCCACCACCCCACACCCTGCCGGTCCCCAAGCAGCCCAGCCCAGGTCTGTGCCGGGGGCCCGCCCGCAGCACCCGAGTCCCCGGAGGCACAGGCACAAGTCTGGGCGGGTCTTCTGGGGAGGGGCTCACAACTTCCGTCTGACCCTTTGAGGGACCCGAACTGGGAAAGGGCGGGAGAACACAGCCACTTTTGATGGCTTTGAAATTGCGGATTAAGGCACGTGAAGTGGACTCTAAAAAGCTTCTTCATCTTCTTCCTGCCCCTCTGACTCCTGTCTGGGACAGGAGCCCCAAGGGACCCAAGGTGGCAGGAGGCATGGGCCCCGGGCCCCGGGCCCCGCTCCCTGCTTGGCTGGTGCCATCTGCATGGAGGCCGGTGGGAGGCGGCAGGGCGCACCTTGAGGTAGCACTGGTAGGTGTTGAAGATGAGTGGCTTCTCCACATTGAACTTGCGCTGCATTTCCAGCGTCAGGCGGCTAATGGCCGGCTGGAAGTAGGTCTGCTCAGCATCCACCATCAGCCGCACGCCCACCTCGCTGGCTTTCTGCAGGGAGCAGGGGCGGGAGAGAGGGTCTGTCTGGGCTCAGGTAGGATGGGCCCCTGCCCTGGGTGCATCCCAGGCCCTCAACCTTGGCTAGGACGTCCATCCTCTGCAGCATCCTGGTCATCTGCAGCTCCTCCTCTTCTGTGAACCGTGACAGCAGAGGCTCCAGGTGTCCTGTCTGAGGGGCCACATGTGGTCAGGCCCCAGCCAGGGTCCAGGCTGAGCACTCCCACCACCCCCATGTGCAGGGCCTGGTCCTCCAGACGAGTGAGGCCACCTGCCCGCCCACCACCGTTTTTCACGTGAGGGTCAGCAGCCTGTCCTGAGGCTGGCCAGCCACACGGCGCCCTGGAACCTCGCTGCCAGCCAGCGCACTCCATGCACAGGGCCAGCAGCCCGAGGGCAGGTCTGCTCCCACGGTGTCTGCTCCTGGGTCTACCCAGGACCCCTGGGGTGGGTCACCTCGCTTCCCACACGTGCTACCAGAACCTGACCCCTCCAATCACCCAGAAAAGCTCAGCTCCTAGCAGGGAGAGGGCTCAGACTATAGGCAGATGGGGACGGAGGCACCATTCCCAGATGGCAGCCTTTGGGGAGCCAGGTGAGGCCTTCTGCTCACCCCGCCTGCCCATTAACACTGCCCAGGCCCGTCCTGGCGCCTCCAGCACGGCCCCCCATGGCCCTGAGTGGCCTGGAGGTTTGGGGAGGCTGTGTTTGAGGATGTTTCCAAAGGTACATCTGCCGCTGCTTCAAACCCAGCTCAGCAAGTGGGCCCAAACACGGCTGCAGGTTCCTGGATACCCTCCCACAGGCAGGAGGGGTCTCCTCACCCTGGACACAGGCCAGCCTAGTGACTTGCTTTTAACAGAATAGGGCAGAAGTGATGCTGCAGGACTTCTGAGGCTGGGCCAGAGAGGGTGACAATGCTTCAGCTGATTCAAGGGGCACTCGCCCGGGAGCCTGGCCACGAGCTAGTGTCGACTGCTGGCCATGTGAGTGGGGGCCCTCCATGGCACCCCCAGCCCCGCCCCCTGAGTGCAGGTGTAAGGGAGAGGCTGGGCGAGGGTGCCAGCTGGCTGGCCAGCCCCAGAGCCACGAGGGAGGACGGGGTGGCCTTTGCCCTTTCAGGCCATGGAGGTGTGTGGTGCCCTGACGCACAAAGACAGGGGACATGGGGAAGGTCCCCAGACACCCTCTCCTCGTTCCCACTTTGAGGGGCACTTGTAGCTCTTTGTCCCCTGGACCATGAGGGTCTTGTGGGGCCATGGAGGACAGTGACCTCGGCCACACTGCATCCCACTGCTGGTCCAGGGTAGGTGACAGGAAATGGTTCCCTTCTCAGCCCACCACCCCGGGGCAGGGTTTAGTGGCAAGGGGGACGTCACCTGCACATCAGGGACCACCAGGTGCTTGGACAGGAGGGGGACGTCACCTGCGCGTTAGGGACCACCAGGTGCTTGGAGAGTTCGGTCCTACTGTCAACAAGGCTGCCCCAGTGTAGCAGGTCCAGAGTGCTGTGGGACAGGTATGTCAGCACAGGGTGGCAGCTCTGCCCAGACACTAGGGTCTGTGGGGGCCCAGCCCTAAGCCAGCCCACTCCACAGAAGACCACCCCCAAACCCAACCCCGCAAGACCAATCTCAGTGTTCAGTTTTTAAAAACAGAGAAACCGTAAACTTTTCTCTATTTAAAAAATGGAAACCAAAACAAGAACATTCTTGCCTCAGGGCAGTGGCTGTAAAGCCCAGGGCATGCACCAGGGGCGCGTCAGGCTTGGGGAGAGCCAAACATGGGAGAACGGGCCAGGCCCAGCATGCAAGGGGACAGCCCGCTGCCAGCCCATGGGCCTTGGTGACCTCACCGCCAGCCCCTCGGGATGAGGGAGGCATGGGGCCCTGTGGGACCTCAGCTGCCCGGACCCTCCACCGGCCTGCCGTGTGAGTCCCAGGGAGGGCAGGGTGCACTATCACTCCTGGACCCGAACAACCCCATAAGCATCCCTGCCCATTCAGGGCCACTCCCACCCAGCAGCAGAGCTGGGCTGGCTCCGTGCCCTGCTGCCCACCCCAGCTCCGTGCACTTCTGGCTGCTCTGTGGGTCTCGGGAGAGCGGGTCCTTCACTGCTGTCACCCCAAAGCCCATGCTCTCAAGGATGACCAGGATTGGGAGAGGCCCATGGGGCTCAGCTGGAGCTGTGGCTGAACGGGGCTGCACGCTCCTGAATTCCCAGCCAAGGGAGTGATGCTCTTACCCAGACACACCCAGGGTCTCTGTGGTGAACCAGTTCTCAATCTCTGTCCTGGAAGCAATGCCCATCTTTGCCACGCTTTCCTTGAGAAGTGAGAAGGTGTGGGTCCTGCTGACACCCCAGCCCTTCAGTAACATTTCCTGCTTCCCCCAACCACTGTGGTGATGTTATTCTTATTACACCATTAGCGAGAACAAGATACAGTCTGCTTGTTTCTGCTCCAAGCAGGTCTGTCCCCACCACCCTCATGTCCCTCTCCCTTCCTGCAGCTCCACGGTGCTCTGCCACATGCAGGCCAGCCCGCATCAGTCCTCCTGCCCAGCACCCCCTTGGCCTGTTCGGATTCCTTCCCAGCTAACCCCAGCAGTTGTGGGGTGGCTGCAGGTTCTGGAGCAGTGCCAGGAACCCACTTCTGACACTGCTGCTGGCTCCTCACAGACAGGGCCCTCCCCAGCCCTGCAGGGCCACCCACTCGCCCACCAGGGAGGCCCACCTGCAGCACCGCCACCTCCAGCTTCGTGTCCATGGCAGCCAGCCCGGCCTTCCCTTGCTCTGCAGCCATTTGGTGGAAGAACCGCCTCCACCTGGTCAGCACGTCTGAGAACTGCAGCTGCAGGTGCGGACATGAGGCACTATTCCAGGCACACATCCAGCTCCTGCCCAGGGAGCCTGGCACGGCCCCGGGCCCATCCCCAGGCCATGCGGGTGCCCAGTGCCCAGACCCAAGGGACCGGCACAGGAGCTCTCACATAATGCTCAGGACAGCCCTCTGCAGGTAGAAGTTTCTGGCACTTACCAGAAACTGGGGTCTCCCTAGTGCAGTGAGCTTAATGGCTGAGAAGCCGTCATCGCTGGCTCCACCTGCCAGAAGCCAGAGGAAGAGCCATTAGGGCTTCGGGTGGGGAGGGGGGGGCACCAGGAGCCTCAGCCCGGAGTCTGTGCCATTCCAGAATCAGCATGCATCTCACTGGACATGGGCCAGAGTGCCGGTCATGGCACGGGCACTTCTTCCTGCTGGTCACCAGCAATACTCGTGGTGCTGGGCCTACCTCACAGATGTGCCCCGAGACCACCAGGGAACCTCGAATGGCCCAGCCACCAGGACTGGACAGCACAGATCTTCCCCTAGCCTTGCTTAGCCCGAGCAGGGGCCTCAGGGACGTCCAGGGTGGCCATGCTTCCTGGACAGGCTGCCTGGCCCCAGCTTGTGTGCCGTCCCCTCCCCAGAAGCAGCTCACTGATCTCAGGCTGAGGCAGGTGACACCGGGGATCCCTGCCAGCCCCCACCCTTCACAGGAGGGGAGACCTGAGACCAGACAGCCCAGGCCACTAACTACCCACGGGCAGGACGGCTCTCCTCCCCAGTCCACAAACACCCGTGTCCGTGCTGCTCTGGAGGCCCCACCACGGAGGCGGGCCCAGGCTGCTCTGTGAGTGCTCGCCACGCGGGGGCAGGCAGGCAGCAGGCCGAGGAGCTGGCAGGACCTGCCCTCCTCTTCCTGCCTCAGTTTTGTCTTCCATGCCATGGCCAGGGGCACTCAAGGTGCCCCACGAAGGCTTCACAAAATGCAGAAACGCCCAGCAGTGCCCAGGTGGCGATTGACCCCCACACTCCTCTCTCCTCCAGCTTTGGAAGCCCGTGACTCGGCTTTGCTGCGTGCAGCCCTCCCCCTCCGCCAGCCCCCAGGCAGAGCAGCCGCGGAGGTGAGGAGACGCCCCTCCCCACACGCCGAGCATCTGCCCAATCCCCCCGGTACTGTCGGCTCCCACCTCCTGAAGTGTTCAGGCGGTGGGGGCCGCCAGGAGGAGATGCTGGGGTGCGGGGCAGGACTGCACTATGGCCTGGGGGGGTCCTGAAGACCAAGACAGAGGCCTGTGGGGCTCCCCACCTCAGCAGGCACCCGGTGCGGTGCAGGAGGGATTGGCTGTTGAAGGAGGATGTGGCACAGTGTCCAGAACAGCGCAGCCCTCAGCACACCCGAGTGTGTCACGAGAGCCCAGCCCCTGCCCAGGCCACCACCAGCCTTCCCAAGGTCCACGTCAGGCCACAGTACCCAGGAGAGGGGCAGGAGGTGCCTTCCTGGAGACAGCCGGCTCCTCAGGCAGGCTAGACTCAGGTGTGCCCCAGCGTAACCTCAGCCCAGCCATGACCCCTGGGTCAGACTCACAAACACCCAGGCAACCTCTAGAGGAAGCCCTGAGCACACGCTCTGCCCGGCCTGTCACAGGCCCATGTCCCCACATGCAGGGCTTGGCCCAGGCTGGACCTGGCGGGGGTGCAGCCAGCGCAGAGCAGGGCCCACCTGAAGCCTCAATGCAGCGCAGGAACGTCTCCATGTGGCTGTCACACTTGGCTTCACTGGCGTAGAAGTAGGTGCGGGCACTGATGACACCGTCCCGGCGGTCTCCAAAGGCCCGGTGGGCCTGGTACTGCTTCTCCCTCTTACTTGTACCTGGAGGGGAGGGTGCGTGGCCCGAGCATCCGCTGGCCTGCCCTGTGCTTCTCTGCAACCCGGCTCCGTGCACACTTGGGGCCCTGCAAGCACCCCACTGCTCCCACCCTCGGGACGGGCTCCTTGGCCAGGAAGGGCCGTGAGGCTGGGCCAGCATACTTGGAACAACGGCCCAGGTGCCTGTGGAGGAGCCATGGCACCACCCCTTGGCCCTGTCGCTTGCCTGTGCCCCAACCCCAGGTGTGCAGCCACAGGGGTGGGGACGGCAGGATGTTGACTCCAGAGCCGCCTCCTCTTACTCACCGCCGCCCTCTCGCTCCACTGCTGAGGAACAGGACCTGCGGGAGGGAAGAGGGTCAGGGCACACCCCCTTGGGCTGTAAGGGCCGAGTCATGCCCATCAAGGTGGCAGCGGGGCTGGCCCTGAACCTGACCTGACAGGCCTGTGTTGGCTGCGGCAGGTAAGTGACTCACTCCACCCCGCCCAGCTGCTCCCGGCCCCAGGCCTTCAGGGTCACTGCCTCCCAGCGGGGTGGCAGCCAGCCCCACACCCTGGAGGAACTTCAGTTTCCTCACGAGTGGGCAAGCAGGGGGTGAAACTACTCCATCCAGAGAGTTCTCAGGAGGGCCCAGGGCATAGGGCAAGTCCCTGAAGAAAGCTAGCAATGAGGGTGTCCCTTCTTCTGAGGAGAGGGCAGGACCATGGGCAAGTCAAGGCTGATGAAGACTGAGCAGGGTCCCAGCAGCATAAACCCCAAGCCCAGGAGTGAGGGTTCCTGCGTACCCACCTACCTCTGCCCCTCACATCTGGGCATTTCCAACCACGAGGGCCTAAAGGTGAGCCCCTGCCCAGGTACACAGCTGGCCCCACCTCTGGCCCTGCTTCATTCTTGCCTCTAAGATTCATTTTCCAAGCAGCAACCAGAATTTTTCTTTTAAAACGCAAGCCCTCCCCTGACCTCCCATTATACCTAAGTAACACCCCCAGTCCTCACCAGTACAGGCTGCTGCCCCACCCTGCTCCCAGGCCCAGTCTGGCCACACTGGCCTCCCAGCAGTCCCTCAGCCGTGCCCTCGCTGCTCCAGCCTGGCCTGCCCCCACCCCGTGCCCACCAGCCCCCGCCTGGTGTCCCCCAACCCCGGACCCCCATCAGACTCACAGCAGACACTGTCCCCTTTTGCAGTGGGCTGTCACGCCTGAGTCTGCTCTGATGAAGGGACTGCTCTATCTCACTGCGTGCCAGGCCCGGCAGAGGCACTCACAACTTCGTCCCCTCACTTTGTACTTAAAGCCTCCGAATGAGTTACCATGGAAAGGGCTCAACCGCAGCCTCCAGGCCACCGGCGACTTCTTAAATGCCCAGACAGCCCCCAGCCCTGCAGCTCTGCTCATGCCCGCAAGGAAAAGAGCAATTCAACCCCTACACACCGCAGGGCAATCGTGACCAAGGTAAGCCGAGAACCCCTGAGAGGTGGCTGCCACTGGGTAGCCTCCAGCCTCCTAGAGCAAGTCCTGGGCCACGCAGCTGTCCTGCAGGGAGCCCTCCCGGGGGCCACGACTCCTACACAAGCCCAGAGCCACAGCCGCATCTGGAGACTGAGCCAGAAGGCCCAGGTCAGAGCCCAGGGCTCCCAGGTCTGGGCCAGTCTGCAGGGGCCAGAGGTTGCCACACAAGGCCACGGTCCAGGCATGCAAGGACAGGACCCACCCTGTGCAGACCAGGCCCCTGCACTTGACCAACAGAAGGGAAGAGGGTCAGATGTCACCGTGTGACAGCATCTACTCCACCCACAACATCCCCACCAGGGACAAGGAGCCCAGCCCTCTCCTGAGGTCCTCCCAGCTATGGCCCAGGTACGACCAAGGGGGAGGTGGGATGCAGCACGCAGGACCCCATCAGGCTAAGGCATCGGCAAGGATGGCTGCCCGGGGGTTAATGCTCAGGTACCTGCCTCCTAGGCAGACGCCTTGGAAACCAGTATCCAAAAGGCCCCCAGGGGCCCAGGGCCCTGTGAAGTTCCCGCCCAGCATGTCCACAGCTGGCCTGCCAGGCTCCGAAGGCGCAGGCCAGTGGGGGCTGCTCCCTTGCCCACACCCAGCAGACAGAGGAGGAAAATACAAGTGATGGGGGTCTACAGACGCAGCAGCAAGACCCCATTCCCCCTGTCTCCAAGCTCTGCCCACCACACGGGGAGGTTTGCTGGGCTGAATGTATTTCAGAAAGAACTCAGCATGGGACGCCTACTTACGCCTCCCCTGTGCCGGCCAGGGCACGGCGGTGGACGAAGAGAAGCACAGATGTGCCCAGCGCAGCCCATTCCTGCTAGGCTTCAGCCCTGGCTCCAGGGAGCACCCAGGACACCGCACACGGTCCCAGGGCGGCTGTCACCACTCTGGGGACCGAGGCCCAGGTACCCCTCCAGCCAGCCCTGGGTCTCCACAGCCAGGACAGGCACACAGGCCTTCCCCACCGTCCCTACCCATCATCAGGGGTGGCCCAGCCCCTTTCTCTATCCTCATGGCGCTCGGCTTGCAGCTGGGAGCCTGTGGGGCTCCTCCCCTGGGTCAGGCCCCGGCCTCTGCTTTCTAGCAAGTGTTCTGGCAAAGACTGCCCAGCACCCCCCCTGGGTGTAGCTCTCTTCCTCCTGCACCTCTGGCCTCCACCTGCTTCTTACCCTGGGAACTCCTCCTGGGTCCCCTCTTCCTGGCACCACCAGGCCTCCTTGCGTTCAGACACCTCCATCCTTTCTGGGCCTCTTACAGCTACGCCCAGGGCAGGCCCGGCACCACCTGCACCCTCCCTGCCCCACCCCACTCCCGTGGCCTTGATTTGGGGCAGTGGCCTCTGTGTCACTCCCCACTGCAGCACCTATGGGCCTCGGGATAGCATTAGGAAGAAAGATCTCTGGGACACGAAAGAACACGGAAGCAGGGCCCACACGGGGGCTACACAGTTGGAGCCACTCCTGATGGAAAATGCCCAGCAGGCCACGCAAGCACCTTGACCGTGCACATGTTCTATAGGCCCCTGCAAGCCCGGTTCTGCCCCTTTGCCCACACAGGACCTTCCAAAGGCCACCTGGCAGCAGAGCTGGTACGAGTCCTTGGTACCTGTGACCGGCCTTGGAAGATGATCTCACATGAGGCCAGGGAGGGACCGTCACTCACACCCCAAAGCCCACCCAGCGAGGCTCCTGTAGGATGAGTCACCAGCAGCAAGGTGGCCGCAGGGCACCGGCTGCAAGGCCCCAAGGAGGGCAAGGCCAGCTCTCCAACGTTCCCCCTGCAGGGCAAGGAGGAGGCCAGGCAAGTGACTGGGGAAGGAGTCTCTTCATACCAGAGAGAGAACTCTTCACTGAGAAACCTCCCAGCCCTCACTCTGATACTGCAAAAGACTGGAGTCCATTAGCTATTCAGCAGGCAGCCCCTCTGAAGGCTGCAGCCTGGGCCCACAGCCCCAAAGCGGGGGAGCTCCACCTCCAAGACAGCGAATCGCTGGGCAGGGGCTGGGCTCCCCAGGCCAATCAGCTGCCTGCTGGCACTGAGACCAGGCTCGGACATTCTGTTCCCAGGGCAGGAGCCTCACGTGACGACTTCCTCCCCACCCCCGCCCCCAGGCCAGAGCAAACACCGTAGCCTGAGAAGGGGCGGGCCACTCAGCAGGCCTGCACCAAGCCTCATGAGGCCGGGCACAGCTGCTGTCAGGGCTCAGGGGCTCCCAAGCAAGCGAGGGTCCAGCCTGGAGGGCTGCAGGCACCAGCACAGGACCAGGCATCTGCAAAGGGCTGGTCTTGCCTGGGTCTCCCATGAGGCCACTACTCCAGAAAGCAGAAAGTGATGTCATCCTCTAATTCTGTCCTATGGCCCAGGTGTATGGGTCAGGGAGCATCACCTGTCCCCACACTCCCTGCCCAGAGAACGGGCCCTGCAGGGAGTCGGTGACCTCGGGACCCTGGCCTGCCATGTGCTCCTTGCTGCACGTTTCCTCCTCAGACCCCCAGGCTGGCACCAGGCCTGACAGGCTCTACACTTACCAGGCAGAGCCCAACTGCTGATTAGGAAACCATCTCAGGAGCCAGGCAAGGAGGGTGGTGGGACCCACCCAGCAGAAGGCATGCTTTAGCAGGCCAGGAGGCCAGAGGGCCTCCCACACCGGGGCAGGCAAACGTTTTCTGTAAAGAGCTGAGGAGCACCTCTTTTAAGCCTTGCTGGCCATATGGAGTCTGCCACAGCTATTCAGCTCTGCCCTGCAGGGCCAAAGCAATTTGAATTTCATGCCATCTTTACATGTCACAAAATATTATTCTTGTTTTGTTTCAACCATTTAAAAATGCAACAAATATTCTTAGCTTGCGTTCATACAAAACCAGGCAGGTGAGTCAGACTGGGCTGTGGACCAACCCCTATTCTCACCCCTCCTCTGTCCACACGCACAAAAGGCCTGCTGCGAAAGCCCAGAACCGTCACCCTTATGGGACAAAAATACAAGACTCCCAGGCAGGACCCAGGAGGGCTGCCAGTAATCAGGCTGACTCCGCTGGCCTGGCCCCCTCCTAGCCCAGCCCTGGCTGCCCCTTGGGCATCTGGGGGTGGTCACCAAAGCACAAGCAGGCCTTACTCCATCTCTTTGCGTTCAGCCTCCTCCGAGCTGAGGTCCTCCTCCACTCCATAGTCCAGGATGGAACCCACACCGAAGGCCCTGTTGTGCCGGATCAGGGGCCAGATGGACTCCTGGTCCTCACCGGCCACAAACTGCCCGTAGAAGGTCATCTTCATCAACTTGTCAAATAGCCTTTGCCCCAGAAGTCTCCTGGCAAGATGGAGCAGCTGGAAGACAAAGGAAAGGGGTTGCCTTGGGCCACCCAGCCGCCTCTGGCCCCAGAGAACACCCCTGCTCCACTCCAGCCACAAAGCCTGGCCACACTCTCCCCAGGGCCAGACTCATCTCACAAGGCCTCTGTCTTATTGTGGAGACCATCCAAAGTAGCTTGCTTCTCCATTCCCACTCTTCATGCAGGGCTGAGAAGGTGCTAACCCCATGGCTGTTCTTGTGTCCCTGCCCTGTGTCCCCTGGGGACCCCAGTGGTGCACGGAGGGTGTCTGATCACTACACATCTCCCATGGCAGTGGGTGTGTTCATAACATTCTCTGAATCTACACCTCAATGGATTATGCTGGGGAAAAGGAGGATTTGGTGCAACTTTCTAGAAGGAAGCACCCAGATTTTTCAGTGTTTGTTCATATATTCCAAGTCCTTAAAACACTGCCTGGCAAGGGGCTGGCCGTCTCATGGTTGCTGAACAGATGAATGGATGCAAAATTCATAATAAGTCTGAGTTCAGCTGGAGCAAGGCATAAGCTAACAATAAGCCAGTGACCATCTACTGAGTCTGTGGGGTGAAAGCCCACCACGGGACTCAGCAGTCATCCAGGGTCCCCAGGGAACCGCAACTCTAGCAGCCAAGCCCCTGAGGAAGACAACTTGTACCAGGAACACATACCCTTGTTCTCACTATAAAAGGCTCAAACAGGTGCGTGCAAAGCCAGGAAGGTAAAGCTGGCTCTCTCTGCTTCCTACACAGCACACAGCCACTGTCACCACCCATCTCATATCCGTCTGTGCCCCTCTTTTGCTCTGGCTCACACCCGAGCACAGAAGCCTGCGTGGTGGGAGACCCAGATTTCCTAAACCCTGCCTCGGGGCGATGGGCCACTGGATCCTGTACCGCTGCAGGCTGACACTCGGGGGGGCAGCAGCGACGACCCCTCCCAGCCCAGCGCATGCTGCCCAGACCTGCACGAGCTCCGAGGGAGGCGTTTTCACTGCAGGCCAGAGGACAGGGAAGGCCAGTTCTGGTGAGCAGCCCCCAGCCCTGCAGCCTAGCCCCTGCCCCATTTCCTCCAGCACCAGGCACTGAGGTCACCAACACCAGGGCGACCAAGCAGGACAGGAGGGGGGCCTGGGACAAGCCTCCTGCTCTCTCCAACACCCACAGCGGTCCCATGTACTCCAGCACTTTCTGGCACTTTGACAGGGGTAACTCCAGTACTCCAGGGTCCCCAGCTCTGCCAGCTTCTCTGCTGGTTTTGAACCCGTTAGAAAGCTCCGTGCTGAGCCTAGAGAAACGTGGCCTAGCGGTTCTAAACCCTCTCTGCCTCCCTACCAGACACACGGATGGCGGGCACAGCTTCCCTGTGCTCATCCTGTCCCCACCCAGTGGTCCCCGTGATGTCCTGCCTGCAGGGCAGGGCCCCATCCTGGTGCTCCACAGAGACCCCGTCTCCCAGCTGCCTCCTCCCCCACGACCACCGCACCACCCACACCGGCTGCTCCTTGCAGGCTGCCCCTCAGCTGCGGATGCTCCCCGAAGGGTCTCACCACCTCCCACCCCCTCCGAGCTCCTTGAACCCTAGTGTTCCTTCTCACCCTCCTCAGTTGGTCTGGGCTCTCGATGGCCACAGCTTTGCCTCCGGACACCCCCTTCTGCCACAGACACCACATGGCTTCCAAGAGGCCCCCACTTCTCCGACACTCCGAAGCTGACAGTGGCGCTCCCAAAGGGGTCCAGGCTAACCTCCCCACTGGCCTCACGACCTTTCGGGGCTGCCCACCCTGACCTGCTGGGCCTCCGCCCTCACCTCCCAGCGACCTCAGCCTTGCCTCCACCTGAGCCCGAGGTGTGGCCCGGTGCTCCTCCGCGGCCCAGCCTCCCCGAGGGTCCCCCGGGGACCCAGAGAGACGGCAAGATGCCCTCAGCACATCCCGCTCGGGAAATCACCACCACAGGCATCGGGGGCCCTCCGGACCTTTGGCACGAACTGGACCCCTGCAAACCGCCCCAGGATCACCGTGAGGTGACCGTCACCTCCAATCTCCATACCCCCCGAGTGGCAGCGGTTAGGGTGGGGCTCTGTATTTCCACAAAGTCCTCTGAAAAGGCGACTTTTCAAAGTTGCCAAGTGAAAGCTGTGAACGTCAGATACTTGAGCGGCTCCCCGATTCCCCACAACACCGTTCAGAGCGGCTGTGCCTGGGGAGCCCCTAGGCCACAGCTTCCAGAACTTCGGAAGGCACTCAACTCACGTGCAGGGGACTCGCAACACCACAACCAGCACGGAGCTCGTCCACACCGGCCCTTGTTCTCGGTTGTGGCGTATGACCGACCTATGGGAACCCTCGGGCCGGACCCGGAACGCGGGGCGCGCCCCCCCCCCGACTGCCCCGCTGCACTCCCGGCGAGGCCCAGGAGCCCCGGGTGACACCGAAGCTCCGCGAGGGCTCCGCGCCGGGCCGAGGACCCCGCGCCGCCCCGCCGGCGCCCCTTCCCCCGGCGCACCTGCTCGTGGCGCGCCAGCAGCGCGGGCGAGGCGCACAGGCGCAACACCAGCAGGCTGCGCGCCAGCTCCCAGCTGCGCCGGCTGCGGTACGCCTCCCGCGTGTTGCCGAAGTCCACGGCGGGCACCGGCGGTCGCA